AATTGAAAGGTCTTTTTAACCTGAGCTGTTTTCTGTCACCCTCTATTTGGTATAACATCAAGTGACCGAACAGGAATTCTGAATCCTCAAAGCCAGCTCCTTCTTCAGGGGTCACTCGGACAGCATGAACTCTCTTTCTGGACATGAGTGCTCACTTTGTGATCTGGCACATGATGATTTTAATTTCATTTATTAAGATAAATAAATTTAATTTGTGCCAGTATTGAGGAGAGTGGTCCACACTGACTTCTGGCTCAGTCAGGGAATATTGGCTTGGGCATGATGAGGAATTACCAAACAGTGATTAGCCCTTTGAAAAAATTTAGGGCCAATGACTATCCCACTGCTTACGTCCACCCGGCGTCCTCTGTTATTTCACCCTGTCCAGTGACTTTGTTTCCATGTCCATATCAGACAGCTGTCACCTGCTCCAGCACCATCAGTACTGGTCTTGTCACTGTGTTCACTTTAAGGGTATGGTTCCTTTTATCAGAGAAATAATCTTTCTCTTCCTTCTCCCCTCTCTGCAGTTCCAGATTACCAAGAACAGGACATCTTCCTCTGGAGAAAAGAGACTGGATTTGGATTTAGGATTCTGGGTGGCAATGAACCAGGGGAACCTGTGAGTTTCTTGTCTACCCCACCCCCACCCACGGTGCTTTTTTTCTAAGACTTCAAAGCCAATTGGCAGCAGGGACAAATCACTGAGATTTGAGTCCAGCCAGGTGCAACATGGCTTCATCTCAAGCTGTGCGGGTTATTTATTGGATCTGGTGGAGCTCCTTTTGTCTTAAGGAAGAAGGGATTAGATGATTCATAAAAAGTTTATATTTGTGTTCCTGAGAAATGGTAGCTGCAGCATCTGGAGCTCCCCATCCAAGAAAATGAAAACAAAAAGCAAAACAAGAATAGGCATCAATTAATACAGCAATTGTCTGACAGCAGATAGTTGGCTTTGCATATTGAATAGCTAGCTAATGCACAGACAGTATGTTAACAGGGGTTATGAGACTAACTAGAGAAAGTAGAATCACTGTCTTTACCAAAGTAGAGAAAGGCCCTGGGCAAGGGTCAGGACACATTCACACTTGAAGGCCTCAGGTTCCTCATCTTCAGAATAAATTTAATATAACATCACAGGATTGTTGTGAAAGGAGAAAAGAGAACTAAAGATTAAGATTGTCCAAGATCACAGCATTAATGGGGACTGGGAAAGGTCTGACTCCAGAACCCATACTCTTAACGACTGTTCTGTCCGAATTCTTTGTAAACTTCATATACCATAGAAAGTTAATTGCAGCTTTATCTGGTGAGAAGGCAAGGAAAGCACAAATAGTTTAGATAAAGTTTAATGAATGGTAAATATAATAGCAAGACACTAAATATAAAGATTGCCCTGCACACGGGTGTTAAAAAAGTACCGAAATGAGGACATCAAGCCAGAGTTTGCTTGTTTCTTTCCTTCATGTAACAGTGTTCCTTGTGCATCCCCTATTCCTAAGCATGGTGCTGGACTTTTAAAGAGAAGTAGTATTATATTACTATCATAATGAGCAAAGTTTTCTGAAAAGAGCATTCTTAGGTAGATAGAAAACAGGAAAAGATTTTACAAATGAAGAAATAAAGCGATTTATTTCTGCAAAGGGGAAAAAGAGGGAGATATCACCAGACTACAGATAAATGTCCAGGAACCAAACAAGAAATAGTTATTTTTTTCTACCATTTAGTAGTTGTTGTAGCATCTTGCACAATGCCTGATACCCAGTGAGTGCTCAATAAATGTTGTAGCATGGGTGTAGACATGAATGAATGAATTGAATTGTTCTTGGAGATGTGAAGGCCACTGATAATAACAGTAAACCAAAAGGTCAATGTTTCATCCATCATCCAATTACTCAACAGATTTATATAGGTCACATCGTTCCACTGGGTGCTGCTGACACGGACGGCCGCCTAAGGTCTGGGGATGAATTAATCTGTGTGGATGGGACACCAGTAATTGGAAAATCACACCAGCTTGTGGTCCAGCTTATGCAACAAGCTGCCAAGCAGGGCCACGTCAATCTCACAGTGCGGCGGAAAATGGTGTTTGCAGGTATGTTTTCCATGCGTTCCTCCAGACAGCAACTTGTCACTTGAGGCACAGAAAAGACCCCCTTCCCATGTCTGCCTCCTCAGGCATCTATTTTAGCCAATGTTTGCAAATGTGATTAAGCTCAGAGTTTCCAGATGGTTTGCTTCTCTGAAATCCTGCAAAACTACTGTCATTCAAAAGTACTTTAATGTGCCGTTCTTGCATGTTCACCAAACGCTTCTAGAAGAGGACTTGTTGAATATATGACATGTCCCCACATCTCCCTGCCAACCAGAACTTAGTCACTTTCTTCATTTACTGATAATTCTCAACAAAAGAAAGCAGTCAGAAAAATTATGGCTTCAGATTGAAAGAAATTAGGATTGTGCTGCAAAATAAGCTTAAAAAATCATTAGTGATACCTCACTCTGTTGTTGACTGTCATATGTATTGAGCCAAGACTTTTTTTTCCCTTTGCAATTAAGTTGTAGAGCTGGCCAATTCTAGGTCATCTTTGATTCCTTTCTCCTGTCTGCAAGCTTTCAAGTATTTAAGTTCTCAAAATACTGGATACCTTTTGGGCCCAACTTAAATGTAACGCTCTCTGTGAAACCCTCAGAAATTCCCTCCTTTCTCCAACAGCCTTCAGATTTTAGCATTCCCTACCTGCCATTTTTGAAAACCATGGTTTATTTCTGAGTCAGAATCTGCCATTTTGCAATGACTCAGAGTAAAAGTATGTATCCCTTCCACTCATACACCCACTTCTTGAAAGCACACATTGTTCATTTATGTCTGTAGCTCCCACCTTAGCCCCCATCTTAAAAAATTCAAGACACAACCCAGAAAGCAGAAGAGGCAGATTAAGAATTGTAATCAGCTGAACTGCTGAAGAAGTATGACATGAAATGCTATGAATTCCCCATCACTTTACTATTAGTGAAACAAATCCTTACCGGCTAAAACTAGTTGGCACTTACTTGAAAAAATTGTGTAAGTCATTTAAATGGTATATAATTGATTATAGGATTAAGATACCAGGTTTCTGTGTGAGTCCTATCCATTGCAGGCATGGAAAACAGTGTTAATCAGTTGTGGATTACATTCGTAGAGCTTACATTTATGGACTCAGGACTTTTCTGAAGATAGTATCCCATGCACTCAGTGAACACCAGCTAGAAATGCCTCTTGAGATGAGATGAAAACTTTTTGACTTCCTTGATGCAAATAAAAATAGTAGAGTAACGTGGTTTTTGTTTGTCTCAGGTTTATTTTAAAAACCTTAAAATACTTTGGGATTGTAGCTCTGGGTCGAAGGCACATTAAATCTATGAAGAGGCATTATGCTAAATATAATAAGCCAGTCACAAAAAGACAAATATTTTATGATTCCACTTAAATGAGGTACCCCTAGCGTAGTCAGATTCATAGAGACAGAAGAGAGGATGGTGGTTGGTGGTTGCCCGGGGCTGCGGAGGGAAAAATGGTTGGTACTTAATTGGTACAGAGTTTCAGTTTTGGAAGATGAAAAGTTCTGGAGATGGATGGTGGTAATGATTGCACTGTAAGTAAATATAGGTAAATTTAAAAATGATTAACATGATAATTTTTGTTATATACGTATGTTTTGCCACAATAAAAAAGAGATCTGTGAAGGCAGAAGCTTCAGGAATAAATACTGTCTTTCCAAAACTGAACACAGATTTTGCTTAAAGCCCCACCTATTATTGTGGCCGTTTAGGGTTGCCTTACCCTGTTGCCAGGTAAAGCAATAGCACTGGAATTTAGTAAGTAAAACTGGAATTCTAAAGAAGGTAAATGTATCCAGTTGTGTGATCACAGTAGATAATTGACATCTGGGAGCTAAGAAGAGAAACAAAGTATACCTCTGGCAGGTGTTGCCAATGGTAAAGTCATCTTTAAAGTTGGTAAAATCTTTTGCCTGATGGAAAAATTGGAAGCAAAAGTGTTTGCAACACTGAGCAGAAATGTGACTTAAAAGTAATGACAATGAATGTGCAGCTAAGGTGGTATCTTGAGGCAAAGATGGTGGTCGTTGTCAGTGGTGGACCACATCTTCACTTCATACATTTTCCTTGATTTGGCACCAGGAAGAACTGCAGAGTGGGCCGATATTGCTGCAGACTTGGATCTGAGTGTCCATGTTGATATGCAGTGTGTGTAAATGGCACACAATCTGGGTGTTCTTTTTTGTGTTTTTAGGTGGCATCTGTGTCAGTAGGTACTGAATCTAAATATTTATCAAAAGAAGCTGTTTTAGATTCTTATGTCTCAGTTCTGTGAGGCCTGGTTCTGCCAAACAACCTTTTGATAGTATAGTGAGAAATTCTTACCAGAAAAAGCCTGTTACAAAGTCCTGAGAAGGATATCATTTAATAGCCAAATCGTAGGAAGGTTTGAGACTAAGCACATGGTGGTAAAAATGCCTAGAAAAATTAGAGGTGTAAGGAGTCAAACTAGTACACGAAATGCCCTTTCCACCCGATCTGTGTCCTTTCTCCACTTTATGCATCTGAAATTTTGTAATAGTTTTGTAAACCATTGCCTGGTTAAGGATTGATCTCCTTACACTCTGAGTTAAGAGACACTTGCCTCCACTGCCCTTGAACCTCAGTTAATCTAGATTTCCTGCACCCTGCAGAGTTGCGTGGGGAGGAAGGGGTGGCAGGGCACCCCTCCGTTTGTGAAGTCGGGTCACTGAGTCATGCGTCTGTCCGGCACAGCCCCCAAAGCCGAGAACGAGGTGCCCTCGCCAGCCTCGTCCCATCACAGCAGCACCCAGCCAGCATCGCTGACGGAGGAGAAGCGCACCCCGCAGGGCAGCCAGAACTCCCTGAACACGGTGAGCTCGGGCAGCGGGAGCACGAGCGGCATCGGCAGCGGCGGCGGCGGCGGCAGCGGCGTGGTGAGCACTGTGGTGCAGCCCTACGACGTGGAGATCCGGCGTGGCGAGAACGAGGGCTTCGGCTTCGTCATCGTGTCGTCGGTGAGCAGGCCCGAGGCGGGCACGACTTTCGGTGAGTGCCGACCAGCCTTCCACCCAGTGTTTCCTGGGATGCCTCGAGCGCTGTGTCGCCAGCGAACGGTGGCCCAAATCTCATTAACACAAACGCTTTGATGCTTTTCGCTCCAGGTAATTAAAATCTTAATTGGGGCTGGAGTTTATTGGGTAGCTCTTCCCCTCCTGAACGCTGGGTTTTTGAGTGTTGCTTTTTTTTTTTTTAACTTTTCAGCTACTATTCTTAATGTATGTTCAGAAGCACAGATGAAAATTGCACAGTACATGTGAAAATTGCAAGCCCCTTGACAGTATAGAGTGAGAAATTCTTGCCAGAGAAAGCCTTTTGCAAGGTCCTGAGTAGAATATCATTAATAGCCAAAGCCTCAGAAGGTCTAAGAGTTTTTTAAAAGAAGCACATGGTTGTAAAATGGCATAGGAAAATTAGAGGTGTGAAGAGTAAAAATATTATGTGAAATGCCCTTTCCACCTGATCTTTCTCTACTCTCTACATCTAAAATTTTGTGATTTTAATTTTCAACAATTTTTTTACTGTTGCCTGTTTAAAGATCTCGTTATGATCTAAGTTAAGAGCCATTTGTCTTCACTGCCCTTGGATTCTGGCTGGGGTGATTTTCCCATCTCCTCCAAACATTGGGGGTTTTGGCAGAATACAGAGGTATGCAGTTGCTCTCTCAGGTTAACTGCTAGGTGTACTGGCCAAGCCAGATAGCATCCCAGAGGATTCCAAAAACGAGTAATCTATGAACGTATTTCCTGTTAGAATGGATTATAATCGTGTACTCCAGAAACAACCCATCTTCTTCATTGAACAGAAGTCATTTGTTATTCCCCAAGCAGCCAAGTAATGAATTCCCCAAGTAATTAATACGGAGGATGGGTAAGAGCTGTGAGACTCTGAAGTTTGTCTCAGCTCTGTCCCCAAATGACTTGTCCACAAAGAGTCTGATGACCAGTGGCACAGGTCACTTGCTGGCTGAGATCAGCCTGGTGCTCCATCATGAGCTTTCTGACCCAGTAGACCTCCTTATGCCTTCCTTTAGTCTTGGTACATCACCTCCTGCTAAAGCCCTTTTCCTCTAAGGTTTGTTCATTAAGACACAGTGAGTCAGCCAGGTCTCTGCATGTATGGCTGCCGAAACAAACGCCCATTACTAACAGTGCTTTTGTGAGCTACATTAATACAGTTACCCCACAGCATGTGATGGATGGGTGACCTGTCATCAAGGCAAGGGTTTTTATTTATTTAGTTTTTTAAATGAAGTTTGAAGAGTTTACTGCTTAATTTAAAAACAGAAAGAAAGGTGCAAGGGGGGAAGAAATCCTTAGGTATTTCCTTCAGATCTACTGTTGCACACTGTGATGTTCTCAGGATTTCAGAATTCTCAGTTTCAGTTTCTGGAATAAAATAGATATGTCAGATGGGAGGCTATGTGTTATTTAATGAATATTGAATGTTTTCACTCACAATTTGGTCTTTGATTGTTTTCCTCTGGCTCCTACAATGAACGAATTAAACTATCCCTAATACCTTGCATGAGACTTCTGAGCTATGCAGAGCTGTCTTCACACCTGCTGTTTAATACCTTTCTCACTTGTGTTGTCCATGGAGATGGGCTAAACATAATCAGGACCTTGACTTTGAGTATGGCAGCTTTCTACCACACCTACATATTGGTCCGAAAGACCATTTACTTCCTTTTTGAAAATTCTGTGACCTGGACATTACATTGCAAAATTAGGCAAATATGCCACAATTCAGAGGAATTTCAGTGTATTTCCCCACAGTTTAACCTCAAGGTCCAAATTACGATGAAGGAGCCTACTCAGTTAGTTTTGGTGTTGCCCATATTAATTTTGTCACCCTTCCCAAAAGGGAGCTCACCTGCCTGACTCTCGTCACAGATCCCAGAAAAGAAAAATTCTCAAGAACCTTTGAAACTCAATATACAATTAGCTGGAAAACTCTGTCTCTGAACTCAAAGCCAGTTTCCCACCTCTCTCTAAAAGTCAGCAGAACACTGTTCCTTGTGACATGTTATGCCTCAACGTGCGTAAGAATCTTCCAGGGCATTTCTCCTGGGTTTCATATTGTAGATGTGCAATGACTGGTAAGGAGAAGGGAAATGATTAAAGGAAAAGGGCTGAGGAATGATGGGAGCCTGGCTTTGGATCTCCGCCCCAAGCCTGAGTAGGTGCAAGGCTTTCCTATCCCCTGGAGGGAGTCTCTGTGAGGAAGCAGGTGGGTTACAGACCCGATGAGCTGGCTGGGCCCTTCCCTGAAAGCACACGGAGAGAGGCCGACCAAGCGAAGGTCACAAAAGGAAAAAGGGGTGTCGTGGCTGGGCCCCTCCTTGGCTCACCTTTTGTAATTATGCCCTTTTTGTAAAGCTTTCATCATCTCGCATAGAAGGCAGAAAGTCTTAAGTGTTTGTCCACTAGGCGTTTTCAGGTTGAATTTTTGGTACTAGTAGACTCTTCATGCCTCACCAGGCACCCGGTTGTTATTTTTCTAAATGGAGAAAGAACAAAACATTGGCAGAAGCTAAAACAACAGCTGGCAAAAATGAAGTGACATGGACACAGAGTGTGAAAACAGAGTGTATCCCAGCTCGGGGTTTCACATTCGCAGTCCCAGAGTAAGCCAATGGTGAGCTATTTTGGGGCTCTTGGGGATCTAAAGTTGTTAAATATCCCAAATTTTGTAATTGATTTGAGGAAGGAAGCTGGGGTTTTCCCCTCATTTTGAGTCAGGGTCGGACTGCAGCAATGAGCTGTCATTCTGGGGCCGCTGCTGCTTCTACAGACGCCCTGAACCGTGCCAATGTTTTGACCATCCGCGCAGAGCTCTCCTTTAATAACATTTGCTTAATGCTTTAATTGATTAACACTTAACCTTCTCTTTCCCTTTTCAACCCTTTTTGTCCTCCCTTCACTATACTCCCACGTAACTTAAAAAAAAAAATTAAAACTCACTATCAAAGCAGGCAATGCATGTGTGGCTATGCCTCACAAAATAGGTCGGATTATTGAGGGAAGCCCTGCTGACCGCTGTGGCAAGCTGAAAGTAGGAGACCGGATCTTGGCAGTGAATGGATGTTCCATCACCAACAAGTCCCACTCAGACATTGTCAACCTAATCAAGGAAGCGGGAAACACAGTTACCCTCCGCATCATTCCTGGGGATGGTAAAGTATACCTGTTGTCTTTCTCCCTAGCTCTCTCTCTCGATCTCTCTCCCTCTCTCAATCCCTCTCTCTCTCATCATTAGTGTTCATGTAATTGAATAGTGTTGATTTAGAGGCAGCCTTCTCCATCCCTAACAGAACATACGCATCAAACAAACATGAGCCGCAGTTACAAAACCTTGCGTCTTAATCCTCGAGCCCTGGGGCCCTGTCTTGCTGTGGGTCAGATTCAGGAAATATTCAACTTTCCCACTTTATTTTGGTCTGGGTGCCCTTGTTTTTAAAATAATGGAATAGTGTGCATATAGGTGGTAAAGATGCCCTGATATTCTGTGTGGAAATCATTGAGAATTTTTTTTTTAAACAGTCATTAAACTGTCACTATACAATACAGTGACATCACCAAACCTTCATAATGAAAATACAGGGCCATTACTATGTTTTTGTTTTTGTTTTTGTTTTTCAGAGTAAATGTATCTTTTTTTTTATTTAATGGGAGAGCCTGAGGGTTTCTGCCTCATTCGTTTGTCTCTCATTTTTTGATGTAGGTGAAAAAGAATGAAATTGCTTCATTTTTGCTAGGTTGTATGTATGTTAAACTAGGGCTATTCTTGTTTGTTTGATTGGTTAAATGCAAATCTTTACATCAGTGGGTGATCCTGTCCCTGGCCTGGGAGGCATTTGGCAGTGAATGAGGTGGGTGCTGATGGCATCTGGAGGGTGGAGGCCAGGAATGCTTCTAAACGTCCTGCAGTATACAGGCCAGCCCCGCACAGCATAAAGCTATACAGCAAAAATATCAGTAGTCATTGGTTACTCTGTAAAACTGAAGTTGTTAACATTTACGTCGCAAAGTATGCATTCTTCAGAGAATCAAGTCCTGAGTACTGTCTTCATTTTAAGGAGACTTTCTCCTTGGGAGGAAAGTGATATTTGTCCCAAAATGTTTCATTGTCTTTTTTTCCTCATTGCTATCTATAAATGTTATAAAATAACACATATATTCTAAAAGTCAGTATTCCTCAAGAGAAAAATGTGGTTTATGGAGGTGGTGTGATAAAAATTGTATGCTATTGATCTGTAAAATGGGAAGATCAGATTTTATCTGAAAGCAATTTGCCAATGAATATTTTTACGTACTAATTGTTATAAAGTAAGTCTTACTAGTTTAAAACTTGAATGGTATAGACTGTACTTCTCAGGAAAAAAAGCAAATAAACCATACATATTTAAAAAGTGTTGGTTCTAAGAACAGAGGATTTTCCGCACCAAAAATACCCACACCGAATGGGAAGAAAAAAAAATAGCTCCTTGAATGTTGGTCTACTTCAGCCTTCCTGAAATGCATGCTTAGTAACTTACCATGTGGTCTGGAGTCCACTCCACCAATTCACCACGCTAGAAAGCTATTATAATTTAGGAATGTGATCACAAAATGATAGAACATAGGGTTCTTAACGGGAAGGTTGGAGGAAGCCAGAAAAAATAAGTGAGAAATGGCTGAGAAAGGCAAGTGTAGTCTATAAATATAGACACATTTATCTACATGCCACGGAGATTTGAAAACACTAATCTGAAAGAACTGAACACAGGATTTGACTTGCTGGGTCAGTGTTAATGTGGGAATGAGAATGTCTGGAAAAAAGGGAGACTCTTTGAGGGGCAAGCTTAGAAAAAGAGTTTGAAATCAGAAAAGACATAAATACACAGAAGCAACTTATTATACTACTGTGCACCTACTAGGTGTTGAATTAATTTAATAAAGTGCAATGGGAAATATTTTTTGGAAAACCTGAACACTAAAAATATATCATGCTAGGTGAATTGTCAATAACAGTTGTCAATGAAGAGCCATTTTTTAAATTTCAATATTTAAAACATACAAAATTGAGATAGAAATATTATACACTATCTTATTTAGAAGGAAGTAAACATTAAAGTTGATACCATATAGTTAAGGATTGATGTGCTGCTAAGGGTGTGGTTTCATCCTGGGATATGGAAGGAATTCATTGCCATGGTCATAAAACTCTTCATCAATTATTCTGTTGTAATGTGAGACATAAACTTAATGTCTTAAGTTTCAGAGGCCAGGTATAGGAAACCAGGTCTAGCAGAGGGTGAAGTTGTGGTGTTCATCTTTTAAATAGGGCCAAAAATTGACATCTTGGAAATTAGAGTTAGGGCATGGGAGTTACATTTCAGGCAAGATGTTGGAGCAATCCAAGAGGGCTTTGCAAACACCTAGGGGACAGTGATCACTGAGTCGGAGGAAGAGGACTGCATGGTGGATCCACCTCTTCTCTGGTGGGTTTTAAGTAGATTAGAGAGAATCTACGTGGTAGGTTACAGGGCATTAAAAAGGTGCTGTATCATGTTTAGGGACCACTGGCCTCTTTCACATCTTCTCTGATGTTTAATTCATCAAGTATTGAAAGCTGGTTTTGTGATCATCAAAGTCCTTAATCAGAGTGGTTTCTGTCTCACCTCTTAAAAAGTCATCTTGTCCAGAGCCCTGTGCATGGAAACTGTGGGAGACGCCTCAGGAAGATGTACCCTCTTTTGGGCAGTATTTAGAACCCATTCCAGATCCACTTCTTCGTCTTTCTCATGCTGCCTAGTTCTTTTTTCTTTTCATTGTTCACCTCCTTTGTCTCCACCTTTGCCTGTAGTTCTCATCACGCTGCTCCCATTTTTCTCTTACCTCTCTTGTCTGCCAGCCCTTAAGTCCTTAATCAGAGTGGTTTCTGTCTCACCTCTTAAAAAGTCATCTTGTCCAGAGCCCTGTGCATGGAAACTGTGGGAGACGCCTCAGGAAGATGTACCCTCTTTTGGGCAGTATTTAGAACCCATTCCAGATCGACTTCTTCGTCTTTCTCATGCTGCCTAGTTCTTTTTTCTTTTCATTGTTCACCTCCTTTGTCTCCACCTTTGCCTGTAGTTCTCATCACGCTGCTCCCATTTTTCTCTTACCTCTCTTGTCTGCCAGCCCTCTTCCACAAAAGCTCCAACACATGCCTCCCCTGTATCCGCCACTGTTGCGTTGTGAGAAGGTCTCCCTTCCCAGATCTTGGGTAGAGCCTAATCAGAGGGGTCCACACCATCCCTGCCTTTGCTGTCCTCGGGCCCAGGGTGGGAGGTGGAGTCGGAGGGGGCAGAACATTTTCCCCTGTGACATATGGGCGCTGGATGGTAAATACATAATGGTAACCCAGAAAGGCCCAGAGGCTTACTGACCATACTGGTCTGAACGTGAACTCTGACTAGTCAAACCACACATGCTTCCTCCCACCCATGTTGTGTAGAAACACCCTGTGAAATCTGAATGTGCGTAAGACTGTATTCAGACAGGACAGACCCATGAATCGGGGTTCAAGATAATGACAATGCTTATGAGCTTAAAAATATATTACTTAAACAGTCTTAAATTTTTACTTCACATGACTCTTTGATTCAAAGTATTTGCTTATATAGGAGGTAAGACTTGGCAGCCCAGATAATGCTTTTTCCTTGGCAAACGCATAGAATAAGTATCTTAACAGAAGGCTCTGTGGATGTGATAGGCAGCATACACTTGGGCCAAAGGAGCAGGCTTCCAACCATAAGTGTTCAGGAAGTCTCCTGAAACTTTTCAAATATTTATGGGATTCAAATTTTCAAAAGCTTCCTTCAGATATTTATTACATATGTGTTTGTGAGTTAAAATATTTATGACAGGAAGGGTTGTATCCTTGGTTGGTTTGCTTGGCTTTGTAATGCGGATTCCGGAAGGGAGGCTAAGGATATTAACATGGAAGCAAGGTTAGAATTGTAATCACTTGTCACGGAGATATGTTGAAACGCAAGGTAGAAGCTCCTGTCAGAAGTTCGTGGCCTGATTTAGCGCAGTACCGTGATGGTGCCTGGAGAGCTAGAATATGCTTTTCTCGGTACACAGTCGCTATGGAAAGTGTAGTAATATCCATTTTCATTCCTCCAGGAGAGCTAAAGTACGTGTAAACATTGTTGAAGAACGGATTCAGGGTGCTTTCTGGAATTTATCATAAAAACAGGCAATCTGTCCACCTACCTTTGAGTTTTAAGAAGTCAAAGACATTGGCAAGCCTCCATAATACCATTGCAGGAGTATACTCTGCTGTCAGGACATTCTTTTACAAATTTTTCCTGTTATACAGGGCACATTTTGCTTTGAGATAGCACTATAAATTTGTGATAATGAACTTTATTTCTGTATTTTAAAAAGCTAGAGAGAATTTCAGCACATACAGTCTTGGTTCAATTCTAAATGAAGATTTAGAACTCATTAAAATAAGTGTGTAACTTTATTGCTATTAAAAAAACATCCTAAAAAAAATTATTTTAGGGCTCAGAAGATGGCCCATGAAATCTAGTCATCAAAGCAGGGTATTTCATGTTTTAATTAATCTGTAATCCTGCCTAGTGAAGTCAGTGATATTTGTGCTATAAAATAAAAGCACTGCTCATTTGAAAGGAACATACTAATTAAATACAATTTCTTGGATAGCAACACACAATTCCCTTGTAAGCAGATTAAGACCAAAAGTTGATTGTCAGGCAGGCCCTGAGTTTAATTCCCAGAGCCTCCACTTGGCTTTCTGAATGATCTTGGACATGTTACCTACCTCTCCTAAGTCTCAGTGTCTCCATCTGTAAAATGGGGGTAATAATGACACCTATTTCATTGACTTGTAAGAAGTAAATAAAACATTGCATGTGGCAGTGCACTTAACACAGTGCTTGGCACATTATAAATGGCCAGGGAATGGTAGTTGTTCATACGTCAAGAAAAACAAGTAAAGGAGAAAAATTCAGTGAGCTCAAATATGCATTTCCATATTAAATGTTAGTTTTTAAAATACTTAAAGTCATGCTTTAACCTGAAACAGATTAGAATATAGATATGTGAGAAATAGGAAATCAAGGAAAGGAGGAAAATTAATAAAGTAATTCTGTTTGTATGTATATTGTGTGATTGTCATATCTCATCAAGTCATGAAAGCTGCAGAAATGTAAAAATTATTTGAGAATGGGATCTGGTCTGCCTAGAAATACTCTGGCTACCAAAAACACACAAGAACTCTTAAGGGGTACCTCTGCACAATTCAGTAATTATAATCACTTTAATTATAAGGAAACACTCTTTTTGGTATCCTGATTATGATTTCCCCATGGCCTGAATAATCTTGTGATTTCCCAGAGAGGCTCCATAAAATTAATTACAATGAGCAATATGAAGTTTTTTTTAAAGGACCAATACACACATTGACAAACCTCTGGCGAATCATATTGACAGTCTGTGCAGTCTCTTTAGTCCTTTGTACTGACACAGTGGGTATACTTTATGAAATATTACTTAGATTTATCACCTTGGTCGTGCTAGTAAGTGCAGTCATAAAAATGCACTAATAATGTGCTTTTAATATTATGATAACAGTAATAAGTACATGCCACCAATAAAAATGTGCTAATCATTTCTGAGCAGATTTTATGTGCCAGCCACTATCCCAAACACTTTCCTCTTTGCACCAATATCCTTAGATACTTCTGTTACCCTGCATGTGCAGAAGAGGAAACTCAAGCATAGAAGGTTCGCATAACTTTGCTTAAGTCCCAGCCAGTAAATTTTGTAGAGCTGGGGATGCAAAGTCAGGTAGTCTGGCTCTAGAATCTGACCTCATAATCATTATGCAAAACTGCCTTCCAAAAAGCAGGAAAATAACACGGACACAGAAACATTTCCCTCTGTTTCACCCTTCAAATTTCTTGCCCTTAAAAAAGGACCACAGGGCCCTTTTCCTCAGGCTCTGCAGAAACATTTGGTAGATAGAGCACATTGTGGGAAACATTATTCTAAAGCATGAATCTGATTCACATTTCAATTCCCTTGATCTGAAGGGATTATTAATGTTCGAGAGATGAATGAAGCTGTAGAACCATGGGCTTTATGACTGGAATATAGACTGTTAAAGTCCTATTTCAGCATTCTCATTTTGCAGAGATAAGTAACTCATACAAGCTGCCACAGTGATAAGTAAGTAGAAGTAGTAGCAATGGCCATACGTGCAGTAAGTGTGCATTGAGTGCTCACTACATGTCAGGTACCACACCTGGCATTTCGCATGCTTTTATCCCAGAGAAAGCAATTGTCACCACCCCCTTCTATGAGATGAGGAAGGTAAGACACACAGCTAATGAATGGGCAAAAGGGCATTTGGATCCAGGTTTGAGAATGGAGCCTGTGCTTTTAATGACATGTATAATGAAAATAAAATAACAGGAAGCCAGACCCAAGCTGAGTAATACCCTTAGAAAATTAAAATGGTAGCTAGAGCACAAGTAACTGGGTTTTGTGGGATGTCTCATTACCCAAGACTGCAGTGGAGAGAGGTGTACTCCAGGTATTCCAGATGGGAATACTTAACATATTTTCCTACAGAAACTTTATTATACATGATGGGTAGATATATGCATTTGACAAACATTAGAATACGTACTGTAAATCACAGGACTTTAGAAACCTCTTCCCTTCATGGGGCACTATGACTTAAATGAGCATCTGTAGGCTAATCTTGGAGACTACCCACCACGTTTAGCATTTTTTTTTTTTTAGAAAATTTATGCCAACTTCCAAACAGTCAACCTAAAAATAAGTATTAAAAGTGCAGCTTGCTTTTAGTTGCTTGTTATTGCTTTGATCTTTAATGGAGAAATAATTAGTAAAATAACATACAGTCAATACTATATGAATGATTACATTTTATATATGGCTGTTGACATGCGCTCTGTAGGCATGCTCATGAGTATTTTCAAATTCTGGATCTACAAACTTCCAGAGATTAATGAAGTTGCTTACAAATGTGGTTAGTAGAGAAGAAAGTCAATTTACATAAGAATAGAATCATATTCATTACATTAGGGTGGCTTCATGATTTATACAACTTATATTTACAAACTCTGGCTCTAACTAATGTGAGTTTTAAAATTAATTTTTCATGAGTGATACTAGAGATCTGTCAAGACCTCTGCATTTTCAGTTGTGCTTCATTAAAAGCAATAAGGAAGAAACAATGTTGTGTATGTGTGTGTCTTTAACACAATGTTAGCACGCTTCTCATTTTAATATTCACATGAAGAAATCAAGCAGACTCACTAAATATTGCTTATACATTGCAGGAAATGTTAGTAGACATTTATTACTGGCGTATAAAATTCTGGGAAGTAATTCTGATATACCGCTATGTTTTGATGGGACTGCTGTTTTTAAGTGTCAGGGAGAAGGAACAGGCATCTACCTTGGCTACAATTTTAGAGAAGCATTTTCTTGGGCAAACTCTTGTTTCATCTGTAGGATGTCTGGTTGCACAGAGGGTCGTGCGGGTATATGTGGCTCACATCATAGATCTTAGAAAGTCAAGTCAGAACTGTTTGATATGGTGACAAGCCAAACTTGCCATTCAAGGGACTGTTCTGCATGCCTCCTGGCTTAACAGTGTCTTCCCCTGGGGCCCTCATTTCGTTGTCCTCTCTCTCGCCCTGCAGAATCTTCAAATGCCACTTTGCTGACCAATGCCGAGAAGATTGCCACCATCACCACCACGCACACCCCTTCTCAGCAGGGGGCCCAGGAGAGCAGGTCAGACATGGCTGTGGATTTCTTCGTTAATTTAAAGGGGAAAAAAGTAACTCCTGGCGTGATAATGCTTGTCCTTGATTCCTTCTCAGTTTCCCCATGGTTTGCTCTTACATTTATTTCTGTCACTTCAGCAGGAATACCACCAAACCAAAGCCGGAATCTCAGTTTGAGTTCAAAGCACCCCAGGCGACACAGGTGAGGCCCAGTTCTCTTTTTTCTCTATTTGCTTTGTTCATTTCCTTTCAACTTTCTGAAGCTTTTTTTATGAGACATCTTTTATAAGGTACCCTCAATTAAAACAAATAACCTTTTGTAAGAAGATGTACTAAGTACGTACTCACACTTGGTTGTCTAGGAAATGACATTTTATTTTACTACCTTTGTAAAGTATTCCTAGATATCCTTTGCTATGGGGAAAAACCAAACAAAATAAAAAGCCACAATTGTATCAAGGACTAGAGATAGGAGAAAGAGCAAAAGAGCTAATTAATCTACTCATGTTATTCATAAAAATGTCTGTTTGTTAAAATCTTTCTCAGAGTTGTGAATTTCAGGTAACATACATAGCACTGCATGCAAATAACAGCAGGTGAAGCAAATTTGGGAAACACTGAGTTGATGCCACATCAAATAGGTTCATTTTTACTGGACTCAGAGCTTTCAGCAAGTCATTCATGATTCTCCTCAGTGAGGCTGGGAGACAGTCCCAGATGTGTGGAGGCTGTTTCTGTGGTCCTCGTGATGGGCATTTATTCAAGCATGGGGCACGAAGGCTGCATATCCAGCAATGTGCAGGATGGTGTCATGTAGTACTTTCCCAGCCACAATTACAAATCGCCAGCCACCTCACCAATCAAATTTTAATATATGCCTGTTGCTGTGCAGTCTATAGTCACACTCAGGCATGTGGTCAAATTTCAGATCTCCAAACACCTATAGCTAATGAATATTAATAAACAATTGAGAATCACTAAGAGGGACATAGGGACTGTGCCTTTTTGGTAAGTCACTGTAATTAGAGAATGGGAAGAGATGGAGAGAGATATGTGCAGATACATAAATTCTCCCAGAATGATTGCATCTGATTTCTTTAAATAGGAACAAGATTTTTATACTGTGGAACTGGAAAGAGGAGCCAAGGGATTTGGCTTTAGTCTCCGAGGGGGCCGAGAGTATAACATGGACCTTTATGTTCTGCGTTTAGCGGAAGATGGCCCCGCAGAAAGGTGTGGAAAGATGAGGGTAAGTAAAAGTCTGGAGTAGAGGTATATAAGTCACCTGCAATGCATTTTTGATATTGTATGGCTAGAACCATCTCATTCATGAGGATTGAGCTTTCCACAGTTTTCAGGACACTCTTAGTGCCTGGCTTCCACCCTAGCATAAATTTCTCCATAAAGCATAGTTATTTGTAGCTGCTAAAGTTATGTGAGCCCTTCTAACTCTTTGGAGTTGAATGAAGAATTAAAATTACTTATAAACTTACTAACAGGTATTTTCTGAGTCCCATTTCCACAGGTGTTGTACCTCATGAGGCAGGCACAATACTTCTCAGGAAATCCTGGGTGTGCCAAGATGCTTAGAGAGCAGGAAAGCTGTAAGGTTCTGGGTGGTGGGTTCCATTCAGGCCAGTCACCACCGTCTTACTGTAGCCTCAGGAGCAAAGTGACTCTGCTTCCGCCAAGGAGCAGCGCGTGGCATGGATGCTCAGGCTTGCTGTGGAGTAGTCAAGGCTGCAAATTTTAAATAAGCAAATGTCGAATGCTCTCTCTGCTCTGTTAGATAGCTAATATCTGTTACTGTGTCCCTCTCCTGGGGGGATTAGATGATTAAAAAAAGAAAAGTCATCAGCTTATTATAGGTAGGTCACTTAGATTGAGGAATACACATAGGGAGCAATTTGCAATGAATTAAAAGAAATCAAACAGTCAGGTCAGGAAAGGAAAGCAAATGAATGAAATTGGTCCTGAGCAAAAACAAGAAAAAAAGTGGTCAAGAGTAGTGTACAACTTAATACTTGTCCTTAAGGCACAATTTTGGTTCTTAAGTTTCTTCATACTGAATTTTTAACAAGCTTTTTTTATAAGTTGAGAAAGTAGACCATGGATATGGGTTATTAAAAGTAGTGAAAAATGGTGTGTAGTAAAAATATAGTTTTCAGAGTCAAACTGTATACCAGTTTCTTGTACATCCTTCTTTTATGCATATGCATACACAATTTGTACATGTACAAGGGAATACACATAGCAGTATATATGCCTTTTGTTTTAATTTCAAATACATGGGGTATATACCCTTCCATGTCTTTATTCACTTAAAAATATTTCTGATTGAATGAAGTATTATTACCATGATATGTTCTATAATGCTTCACAAGACATGTTTACATGTGGTATTATCTGATTTGATTCCCACAGCTTGGTAGGCCTGGGTTGTTATAATCCCCTTCTACAGACAAAAAAGTGAACTCCAAGAAGTTAAAAGATTAGAGCAATATCACTTAGCTATCAAGTGACAGGACTCCTGTCACTTCAAGGCTTTAAACTCTAAAGCCAATGCTTTTTCTCAGGACTAGAAGCTCCATGAGAGTAAGAATCTGGCCTGCCTTGTTCATTCCTTTAGTTTCTGATGCTTAGAATAGTAGCTGACACATAGTAAGCAATGCAGTTGATGTATCAACCAGGATTGTGGTCTCAGCTGGGGAAGGATTTGTTTCTAAGCTCACTCACTGAGTTTTTGGCAGGATTCAGTGACTCTTGGGCCGTGCCTGAATCCCCATTTCCTTATTATGGGGTCTGTAGAGCAGCTTATAGCATGCATCAGAGTTATCAAGTAAGAGAACAAAAGAGAGTAAGTAAGACAGGAGCCAAAACTCTTGTGACCATATCTTTGGACTGACAACTCATCACATTTGCCATATTCTGTTTTTTACAAGCAAGTCACTTATTCTAGCCCATATTCAAAGGGAAGGAGATTACACAGGATGTGAATTCAAGGAGGCAGTAATTGTGGGGGGGGCCATCCTAAAAACTGCTTGCCACATCTTCCTTCTTTCTCCAATTAATATTCTCCTTACTTATTTTTTTCCTTAGCACTTACATTTTCTAGCATACATGTATTCTTCTAATTTTCTTGTTAATTTTCTTTCCCCCATTAGAAAGTCATCTCCAGGGTTTTTTGGATTTTTACATTATAAGATTTGAGATTTTGTTTTTTTTGGAATATACTCAGTAAATATTTAGTAAATCAATAAATGGAAGAAAGAATTTTAAATTGTAAAGCGCCTCCCTAACAGGTGAAACCCTCCTGTGTGCTCATTTTCTTCTCTCTGGCTTTTGCAGATTGGTGATGAAATTTTGGAGATCAATGGTGAGACCACTAAAAACATGAAGCATTCTCGGGCTATAGAACTAATTAAGAATGGTGGCCGCAGAGTGCGTCTGTTTCTGAAGCGGGGAGACGGCTCAGTCCCAGAATATGGTGGGTCAAACTATGAAAACATTCCTTCCTTCCCTGGCATGACTCCATGAATTTGTCTCCAGAGCTGCAGCAGGAAAGTCTTTTTGTTTCCCCTGTTCACCAGTGTCTTACCAGCCTTTCGCACCATGTGATATCTGCCTCGCTTGTTCTGAAATCTCTACACATTTCATCCTTTCGCTTGCTTAAGTGGACCGGGGCATGGGATCATTACAGCCCCCTTTCTGATAATCAGAGAGAACATTTTTGTCTAGTCCGACCAAGAGCGAAGGAATGTCTGAACTGTGCCAAACTGTTTCTCAGATCCGATTGTTAGCACAAAATGACTATACTCCTTTTAAGAAGCAGGAACGCAGGTTTCCTGAGTGATATGTTGAGGCACATTCTTTTTTTTTTTTCTTTTTTTCATTTTGATGTCTTTAAGAGGTGTGAAATTTTGAGGTGATTTGGGGTCCTTGCTCACTTCCTTAATGCTCTGTAAACAACACTTCTGCATCCCCCCCACTGGCCCCTACCCCAAGTCAGACCACCTGAGCCCACTACCACAAAACAAACAAACTGTTGATATCTTAGCCATATGTTTTTAGATGATAAGGGATGAAATCAATTCCCATTGCTCATCGTGAGGGAAACACTTTACTATACCTTTCCTATGGGGAAAGCTAGTTATACATAGAATTCCTTTGTCGTAATTGATGGATATCTACAGAAGACAAGATGTGAGTAAACAGCAGTGATCTTTACATAGCTTAGTGTTCTGATGGCAAGATAGGGTATATTATAATAATGATGTCCTATTTATTTGAGATTCTTGTTTAAAATTTGAAGAAAAAAAAAACAACTATGCCCTAGATGTAGGGCTTCTCTTCCCAGCCAAAGGTCTACAAAAGTTTCTATAGAAACTGTGATTGACTGGTCCCCATATATGTTGGTCCCCTTTATTAGGGATTTATCTGTTACCACCCTCTTTTCTGAAAGTCATCCTGCACAATTCCCAATCGCATTTTGGACTTGATGAGATCCTAATTCAGATGCAGCTCAAGGACAAGGATCACCCCTTTGAAGGACAGCCTTCCCAGGTGTTGGACATTTATACAGGTGCCTAATGTGAGGGGCTCAAGGTTGGGGGGTGGGGCCGGGTGGATATCAGATGACGCACCTTTAGACATGGCCAACCAGGAGGGAGGGGTTCTGAAAAACATGGAGATGCCGCACTGTGCGCTGCACTGCACGTCTGACCATAGGTGTATCGGTCCCGCTGAAACTGTGTAACGTTGTCTCCCTTTTCTGTCTTCCTTATGCTTCTGTTGGATGTGATATTTCATTTGAAAGTCATCGTCAGTAACCTGTGTATCTTCTCAAAACCTGTGTCTGTTGCACTGAAGATGAAAACCAACACTAACAAATGTTCTTGGGCTAAAAATAAAGATCACCTAAAGATTTGCTTTTCCAAGGAGGGTTGAACATGCCAGGGTTGTGCTGTTGTAAAGTCTCCATGTGTCATTTGGACTAAATCTCTCTACTTCTACTGATGAGAGTCACAAATGGGTTATGACATGTTAAGTTCCAATATTTTTCTGACTTGACTGGAACCTGCTTCTCTGTGAGGCTATTTTTGTAATCAGTTTTTTGTACTTAATTTAACTGCGGCGGTCTGGGGTTGGGGGCGGGGGAAACTTTGTTCTTCTGCTGTTTATTGTTAATGCTTTCCTATGCCAGCTTGTCATTGTTCCAGTTGTTTGAAAAAGAAAAAAAAAAAGGAAGAGGAAAAAGGATGCATCCATTGTCTGGGTTCTCGAGTCACCTTATATGGCTGTCTAAAAACGTCACTGTTCTGATTGCGGTCTCTGCAGCCTTATTTGAGTGTTGCCTTAGACTGTCTGACTGGACAAATAAACTCTTTGCCCTATGTTAACAAATGCAGATTTTTTTTTCTTTCTTCTTTGTTATAGGGAATCTAAATGTTCAACTTTTTCTCTTTCTCTCTTTCTCTTTCTCTCTGACTGTTCTTGGTGCTGGGCCCTCCCTTCTACAGCGATGATACCTCCTAATATCGCTGCATGTATGAGAAATGAAAAGCTCGGGGAGGCTTGCTTCTACCTTATGGGCCATAATCAAACTACGGTTTGTAGCTCAATCAATACTAGGTGTTTCTGTGCTGTGGCCTAATTTCCTCATTGCTTCTGCTTAGCTCTATTTTGATATGTTTGGCAATTCATTCTGAGCACCCTGCGTTCTTTGAATTGTAAGTACATCACTGACCCTGTTGAAGTCTTGTCCTCCCTTATCTTAAAAGTAGGTGTAAGAAACCCCAAGATTAGATTTACAGTATTGATCTAAGCAGCTTCCCTCACCCACATCTTAAAGTAACTCTGTAAGCCCCTGTTTGTGTTAATTCTAGTAGTCTCCCCAGCATTTAGAAAGAACAAACCTAATATCACAGATCCCTCATGTACGACTTTGTTCAACAGAAAGGTGAGGTTTCCTGCTTAGTGGGCTATCTCTTGGCAAATGATAGCCAACAGGCCAAATCCTGTCCACAGCTTGTTTCTGTAAGTAAAGTTTTATTGGCACATAGCCATGCCCACTTATTTTATATATTGTCTATGCTGCTTTTATACTGTAGTGGTGGAGTTGAATAGTTTTAATAAACTGTGCAGCTAGCAAAACCAAAATACTTATTTTTTCACCCTATACAGTAAAAGTTTACTAATCCCTGCTCTTGGCTATATTCCTATTTGTTAAAAATCCACCCTAGGTTTGGGAGATCATTCGTGAAACAGATTATTGCTTAATGTTGGCCTTGTTACCTCATGAAAGATCTTAAAGAGTAGCCATGATTCCTTTGTCTGTGTGACTGTCACCCTAGTGTGCCCTTCACACTGCCGCACGTCATTCCGGGTGGCTTGCCTGTGATGGTATAATGTGCATGACTTATCCCTGCTGTGAAAAAAGCTCCATAAATTCAGGATGCTGCCTGAAACATTTGCAGTGTCATTTCCAATAGTTTAATAATAAACTGGAGTCCTCATGGGCTGCCCTGCTTTCAAATCTATAGATATCTTGATGATGTAAGAAGCAGTGCAGTGAGCCCACAGCTCATAGATTTAATTATGGCTGCTTTGTATAAAGACAGGTCTCTCAGAACTTAGACTTCATCTGAATCCCATGTAACGTCAAATGGGTACCCGGCAGCCTCTTTTAAACACTCCTTTTTATCTGTCAGAAGATTCCACATTTTAAGAACAGTTCCTTTAAACTTACACAAAATTAGAGAAAATAGTTGGGTAACATTCAGAAAGGTAGAGAGAATGTCTAATGGACCATCATTCCTGCCAGTCATCAACATCAGGCCACTGTAAGTCCCTTTGGCCACCATCCTGGATTGTTTTTATAAAATAGAAGTATAGTTTGCATACAGTAAAATGCATAAAGCCTAAGAGCACAGTGCATTGAAATTTTTACCTATGGATGCACTCATTTAACTACCACCCGAGTCGAAACAGACTCTTTCCATTCCCTCAGAGAGTTCCTTCATGCCCCTTGAAGTCAGTAGCCCAGATTATCAACAAATTAAACAAATATTCTTTAAGGAAAAGAACATTTTCTTTCATAGGGAGAGGGGTGGGCAGGGGAGAAGGGTGGTGGGTGGAGAAAGGAAAGAAAAAGGTTAAGTGGGAAAGTTTTCATACTTCTAGATAGAATCTTTGGATTGTGCCTTTAAAGACTAAAATGATGACTGATGTTGTAAATTATTTAATGATCTGTCTTGAGAGCAGAGAATAGTAGGCTAGATGCTGAAAACCACCAGTACTAGTTTTTAACCCTAACTAGTTGCAGTTATACTTAAATTAACCAAGATTCAGTTGGCTTTGATTCTGACTGCTTTAACAGTTGTTTGTCGTGACTAATGAGATCTCAAATGTGGGCGTGGGGACAGGAGCCCATGGTCCCTTGTACCAAACTGTCACTCTCATTTATTTTCCTCGCAGACCCCAGCAGCGACCGGCACGGCCCCCCCACCGGTCCCCAAGGTGTTCCGGAAATGAGGGCCGGGCCACCCGACCGCCGACAGCATCCATCACTGGAGTCCAGTTTTCCACCCGATCTTCACAAATCATCACCACATGGGGAAAAGCGGGCACACGTGAAAGATCCGAAAGGCAGCAGAGAGTACAGCAGACCCCCGAACGAACATCACACATGGAATGGAACTTCTAGAAGAGCTGACAGTGGGGCGTGTCGACCCAAGGACCGGGCACCGGAGGGGCGGCGGGAAGCACAGCCTGAGCGGACAGTGACCAACGGCCCCAAGAGGAGGTCCCCTGAGAAGCGACGGGAGGGCACCCGGAGCGCGGACAACACCCTGGAGAGGAGGGAGCTGCACGAGAAGAGGAGAGAGGCCTCCCCGGAGAGGAGGCGAGAGCGGTCACCCACCCGCAGGAGGGCCGGCTCGCCCAGCCGTCGGAGGAGGTCCCTGGAGAGACTCTGGGAGCAGAAGCGCTCCCCAGAGCGGAGGAGAGGAGGCTCCCCCGAGAGGAGGGCCAAGTCCACCGACCGGAGGCGGGCGCGGTCCCCGGAGAGAAGGAACAGAGAGGACAAAGCCGGCCCCCGAGGGAGAGAAGAGGTGAGCCCGAAACAGGACGTGGGCAGGAGTTCCAGACACCCCCCGGAGCAGAGGAGGCGACCTTACAAAGAATGTAGCACCGACCTCAGTATCTGAGACTCTGAATCACATTCCAACCTTTACTGTGTCAAAGGTTCTAAGAAGAAGGTCACAAACCTGAAATCATTTAGTTTCTTACCTAATGAAGCATCTGACACTTGGTGATCCTCTGAATAGCAACAAACATTTTATGCATTTGAAATCTTACAAGAAAAAAAAAAAATATATATATATATATGAAAAGTGTTGTGCCTGATGTATAATATTAAAGTATTTTTAAATGCATACTTTTTTGGAAATTATTTGCCAAATGCTGCCCCAAAGGGTTATAAATTTTGTTTCTACATGAACTGTAGAATTGGCAAGACTTGTTCCCTTTTGGGGGTGAATCTTTTTCTCTCCTGGTTAAATAGGGCTGTTGATCATTTTCTCTAAGTAAGGGAAGTTACTGATTCGGTTTAGTTAAGTTGGTAGAGATTGTTATGTAGTGATGTAGTGCTATCCTGTAGTTAACAGTTTTTCTTAAAGAACAAAAAAAGCAAAAGTTATATTTGTAAAAATGAGAATTCTTTGGGATGGATTAGGATTTGCTGATGATCCTAAGATTCATCAGACTGTATGTAGAGACTACTATTACAAATGAAGGATATTTATAGCTAAACTATACAGCACAAAGAAATGTTACATCCTCGAGTCCTAGTTGGTTCAGAAGACAGCTCATACTCTCCCTGGCCATAGCAAGGCCCGGAGAGAAGGAGGTTGGCTGCCAGTACCCAAAGGCAGCCCAAGCACAGATGGTCAAGTTCATTACCATCACCAATACCCTAATAAGATCTCATTAAGGCAGTGCCATCACAGATTTGCTCAACTACCAGAAGGAATGGAAAACAAACACCTTCTGTGTTGTCTGATTTGAGGCTGAATAGTAGATGGAATGGGGGACAGCACGTCCAGTGTGAGGGAGAAATAAGAATCCCCAATACAGAAAGTATGGTCTCCTTTTCATCATAAGCCCAAGGTTGTGCTTTGCCAAATTGGGGAGGAGGGAACATTCGCGCCTTGGTGGACCTCACCTCTCTGTTGATGCTTAAACAAGTGAAGAATAGGAATGCTTATTCTTAGAAATGATGATGTCCCTTTGAAGCCAGCATAAAAGCCTCCAGATGATTGGAGGGGAAGAAGGACAATGCCAATGGTTATAGGTCCTGTTGGCAAATCTCTGCGCTCATGACCCTGCCCTTTGAGTTGTTGGACAGCAGAACAAAACATAATGATGTTTCTTTTCTAAAAGACCATTCTTTTGCAGTCCCGCAGGAGGTGTAGTTAGGTCTGCTGTAGCCCCAGGATGTGGTTGAGATTACTGCCTAGCTGAGCCAAAACGTTTGCTTGTACCTGTTGGACCATGACAGCAAACCGCTGCTTATAATGCATTGTGTATTCTCGTAGTATTGTTTTCATTTTCCATACAGACACAAAACTTTGCAAGTCAATCACTGTTGTTTTCATGGTACTGTTAAGAAAAAAAGGAAAAAGAAGAAAAAAGAAAAAAAAAACAGAAAGCCAGCCAATAATTGTGTGTACAAAGTTAAAAATTGTAATTAATAGAGCCTGTTTAAAAAAAAACAAAAAACAACTGTTGCCTTTTTTTCTGTATAAAAGAGAATTTATGACAAAAAATTTAGCTGTGAGGAATGTGATATGTGTTTATATTTCTGAATATGGAACAAATTGATTCATTGGGATATATTTTGATGTAACCTAAATCAGGTATGTAAAGCTGTTTTAAAATGGGAGACTATATATGTAATTCTCTGAAGCTTTAGTTGGTTTGAATATCATCATTTCCTCCACAGTGAGCCTGCTTGTAAATTATTAAGGACTTGTTAGCATTCTCTGTTCTTCACTCATTTCTTGCAGTGTGCTATGGACCTAAAGCTCTTCCTGTATTGATGAAAAGCAGTATGTGGGCCAATCTTTTTATAAAACACTATGCATATATAAATATTACATTGTTCATAGCTTTATTTGACTTACGGATTTCTACGTAACATAGAACAAGTAGCTGTAGTTGTGTGGACATGCACAAGATAAGTTCCTGGAAGAGACACAGCATACATTCTATAGCTGAAAAGGAAGGAAAAGTCCGTGACTGCTATTTTTATTATCAAAGTTTTCCATGCAGAGCGTACATTGCACTGTAACAGTAAAGGCAAAGGGAGAATACAACTGAATAATCATGTGCCATCTTTCTCATCAGTTTCCTGAAGAGCCAACTTGGGTTTTTTTTTTTCCCCAAGGCTCAACCGCTAGGAATTCTTTAACTATTTCTAGCAAAATCAGTGATGTTAAATGATCAATGCTCTCAGCTGGGATCCAGTGTGTTACCTAAATGAAATCAAGGTGGATTTTTGGAGTACATTGTGAAGTTAAGATCTTGATGTCTTTCTTGTTGTCAGAGATGATATTTGACCCTTTAAAATCTATGCGCTACCCACCTGGGCTTGGCTCATTCCGTGAAAACTAGGTGTGTGGCACTTTGATCTGAGTGCCACACGTCAGAATTGCTTTGGAAATATTGTACTGTACAGGGACTATGCATTAAGCAGAAAGATAGTTTTGTCTGAACTACTGTAACTTTAAATTGGAGACTGATTCTTGTGGGCCTACTTTCCCTAATCCCCCACTTCATGTAAATGTCTTGATGAGCGGTGATGGATGAGTATTTTGTATGATTACATCAAACCATTTAGAAATTCCCTTCCTACCCATTATGCAGCTGATGCCTGAAAGAATGTGGGGAGGGGGTGGAAGGAGGGTTGGGGGGACCGGACACAACCCCCTACTTGTATTTTTTAAGTTGCTTTTGTGAAAGATTTTTTAATGCATTTTTACTGTAAAAATACATGGAAATGTATGCATTCCATAATCACTGTTGCCTCTGGATTGATATCTTTCTTGTCTCTGTGTTGTTTCAGATGTAATCAGGGTCCAGGGATCAAGTGAGAGTGCCTGGCTCCAACTCGATGAAATGCCATGCCATTCTGTTGAAAGAGAAGGAATCGTGTCTTTGCAGTAGTATAGTACCTTGCTACCCAAAGCGTGGTGTGTAAACCACTGCCTCTTTGTTACTGGGGAGCTTATTAGAAATGCAGACTCCCAAGCCCCACCCTAAATCTACCTAGTTACACTGTACGTTTAACAAGATCCCCAACTAATTCATATGCACATGGAAGTTTGAGCAGTAGTGTATCAGGAACCCTGGTAATAAACCAAGACCTGCCAAGCCAGGAGTTTCATCAGTCCCTAACTGTGATCTTGGGAAAGTTGTTAAGCTTCTTTTTTTAAGTCCTTGTCTTTAAGTACCACATAGAGTCGGTAAGAATAAATACGAAGTGCTTAGCCCACCTCTGGCATTCAGAAAAATCCTCGGTAAATAACTTTAAAAAATTATTTTGAAAGAGGATTTTCTACATGGCATTGAAAAATATATTCTAACGCTATTAAAATGGAAAGGCCTGCTTTAATTTTAAAGCTAGTGAACACTGTATAATTACACTTACCAGGGTGTTTGAAGTATGCAACCAAGACTCTGTGCTGTGAAAATTTAGATGAAAATAGTCTCAAAGCCTAACTTTTGGTGTATAATTACACTTACCAGGGTGTTTGAAGTATGCAACCAAGACTCTGTGCTGTGAAAATTTAGATGAAAATAGTCTCAAAGCCTAACTTTTGGAAATAGAAATGTTTGAGGAATTAGACATACTCCTAAGCAGTCATCATAGATGAAAAACTTAATCAGCGAGTGATTGAGTCTGTGCCCTGGCTGATCATGCCCTTTCTAATGACTTTCCAATTTCCTTCATGCAGGTTTTGGATTGTTCCTTTAGTATGACTTAGTATTCGGGTTTCCTACCGAACCTAAGTTTCTGGGAATTCAAAAGGTATTTATTGTGTTTACTAGTAGGCCTTCCTACAATCTCTCTCTTGCTGTATTTTGCTTTATTTTGTCACCACCTTGGTAACTGTGGACACTGCTCATTTCCCTAGTGTCACTTTTGTTAAAGATGGCATCTAGAAATGGTCCCTGGCTTAGTAACAATTGAAGCTATTCGCAAACCCCTTATATCACACAAGTTCTTTGCTCTAGGCAGCTGCACTGAAAAGAATGTGCCGTGACTCAGTTGTAGCTGTCAGCATTTTTCTGACGGTGGGCAATCTAAGACCACCTTTGACCAGCGGCATTACTTGTACAAGGAAGAGCCCTTTGAAAGGGCTCCAGTTGATTTTTTCTTATAATTGGGCAACATCATTTGCATTGTGGGTGTTGAGCACAGGAAGATTCTAGTGCTTCTGGAACATTTGTCATTACAAGCTTCTAAGAGAGCAAATAACAAAGCTGGGCCCTTTCCAACTAGAGGTGTTTTTTGCAGGAGGAGTGGGTCCTCTGTGAAAACTTGTTGACTAGTTCCACCCAGCCGTGGCTTTATGCACTGCTCATCACAGGCAGTAGGGGTTCTCTGGTCTTACTCCTCTAGTGCAAACATCGGCTGATCAGACCCACAGACCTTTTTGAAAGTGCACAGATTTCAGCAAGGTGTATTGACAGTAAATACTCGAGTACTGCATGTGACTGCTACCCTCTACTATGTCGCTTTTCCACTTATCTCAGAAGTCCTCTTGAGGAAATAACTGGGTCCGCCCAACGTGCACACCAGCAAGCACTGTCCTCTTAAGTACATTTATCTCTCAGGGAAGAAAGTCTAATCTCCTACGATCATAGAGTTGAAGGGAAAATAGCTCAGAAAGGTTGCTAATGCCTTCATGTGTAGTAGACAAGGCTTATTACTCATTCTTTCAACATCTGTTGAGAACCAGCTCTGTGCCAGGTACATGGTGGGTCCATAATCCCTACTTCCTGGTGTCTGGAGCTTATAGTTGGTTGGAGGAAGGCAAACACACATAAACCACACACCGTACCAGGAGCAGCACAGGGTCCCATGGGAGTAGTTAATAGAGGAGTTAGCCAGGTTGAGGAAGGCTGTAATTCCAGAAGAGAAGGAGTTGTTAACTGGGGAATGAGGGTGGAAAGCACAGCCTGCAGCCAGGGAGGGAGTGGGGGTCTCCAATGGGAGGGGCTGTGCCGTGAAGGTCCAGGAGGGTCTTGTTCTGCATTTTACACTGAAGAGTTTCGGCTCCAAGTGAACTGTGTGTGCCGGGGGAGATCACCAGCTCAGGTTTGAGCTTGGGCAAGATGGCCTGGGAGCAGCCAAGAGAGCAGCAGGTCAGGGAGGGCTGAAGCCCACCCTAGATGCGGCAGGATTTCTCGTGGTCAGAGAGGCCCCAGGCCCATGTTTATCATGCTCTTATTGCAAGAATTCATTTTCTTTCCAAACTAAATCCTTCTATCTCCTCTTTGCTATCCCTTTGTAAATACACGTAGAACATTCTATACCCGATGGTTTGCATTAGGTAAAGTCAATCATTTACTATTCTACCTGGTTTTCTCCAGGTTTACCAATTCCCACCTCAATACTTTTTTCTTTTCAGATCCTGGTTTCAAACCTTGTAATCTTGTTTGCCTTTTTATTTTTATTTTTTGAGATTAACCACATTTTTCCTGAATACTAGAAGCCTATGTGTAGTAGACAAGGCTTATTACTCATTCTTTCAACATCTGTTGAGAACCAGCTCTGTGCCAGGTACATGGTGGGTCCATAATCCCTACTTCCTGGTGTCTGGAGCTTATAGTTGGTTGGAGGAAGGCAAACACACATAAACCGCACACCGTACCAGGAGCAGCACAGGGTCCCATGGGAGTAGTTAATAGAGGAGTTAGCCAGGTTGAGGAAGGCTGTAATTCCAGAAGAGAAGGAGTTGTTAACTGGGGAATGAGGGTGGAAAGCACAGCCTGCAGCCAGGGAGGGAGTGGGGGTCTCCAATGGGAGGGGCTGTGCCGTGAAGGTCCAGGAGGGTCTTGTTCTGCATTTTACACTGAAGAGTTTCGGCTCCAAGTGAACTGTGTGTGCCGGGGGAGATCACCAGCTCAGGTTTGAGCTTGGGCAAGATGGCCTGGGAGCAGCCAAGAGAGCAGCAGGTCAGGGAGGGCTGAAGCCCACCCTAGATGCGGCAGGATTTCTCGTGGTCAGAGAGGCCCCAGGCCCATGTTTATCATGCTCTTATTGCAAGAATTCATTTTCTTTCCAAACTAAATCCTTCTATCTCCTCTTTGCTATCCCTTTGTAAATACACGTAGAACATTCTATACCCGATGGTTTGCATTAGGTAAAGTCAATCATTTACTATTCTACCTGGTTTTCTCCAGGTTTACCAATTCCCACCTCAATACTTTTTTCTTTTCAGATCCTGGTTTCAAACCTTGTAATCTTGTTTGCCTTTTTATTTTTATTTTTTGAGATTAACCACATTTTTCCTGAATACTAGAAGCCCAGTGTGTTATCCAGTTATTTCCCATGTTTGAGTGTTGAGAGAACCACCCTATAATATTCTACTTTAACAAGCAGTGTTTTCCTTCATTCACAAAACTAATTCATATTTAACAATAAAATATTCAAACATGTCAGAAGAATATAAAATAAAAGGTGACATTGTTCCTTACAATCCGTCAATCCCAATCCAGAGCAGTCACCGTTATCAGCAGCTTGGTTTGTGGCCTTTATGATCTTTTTCTACTTATATATAAATGTGTGTGTGTGTGTGTATAATCTATACCTCACATATTCACATTCTGTATCTGTCCTTTCTCCCCTCTCGCCTGCATTACTGCGCTGTCTTCCTTATTCTCCCTGCCTTTACCCTTGCCCACCTACAGATTATTCACACAGCAGCCAGAATGAATCTTTTTAAAATATCAAGCGAAGAGTCAAAGTCCTCGCAACTGGCCGTGAGACCCGAAGCAGTGCAGCCTCCTCCCTCTGTCTGGCCCTTCCTCACCAGCTCCACCCCAGCCCTGTCCAGGCGTGCTCGCAGCCTTACTTGAGGTGTTTGGACAGTTCTTCGTCCAGAT